TATATATATATATATATATATATATATATATATATATATATATATATATATATATATATATATATATATATATATATATATACATATATATATATATATGTATATGAAGAAAACTGAGTTAAGGAATGAAAGGTGGTTGGGAACATAGTGTTACCTGTAATCAGTCTTATGCGCATCGCGGAAAATCCTACAATTACGTCTTCCCAATTTAAATTCTGTTATAAAATGCTTATTTTATTTGGCTTATATTTGCAAGTTTTGCAGAAAGATCTCGGTGACCACAGTGATGATAATGACGGAACTCGTAAACGTTTCGCTTTGAATCTAGATGTAAGTTGTGTGATGATAACATCTAATTGATATATATATATATATATATATATATATAGAGGGGAATTGTTGAATCTAGAAAATTTTTTCAATTCAGAATAACTGATTTTTCTGTGGTTTTTATGTTTTGCCTTTCGAGCTGTGAAAAGTGCTACCTCGACATCATAATTTTCTGTTTCAGTTTAAACTCCCATTTTACAGCTTCTGAAACTTGATTATACCGATAGAGCTGTGGAATATCCTGAAGTTGATACTAATACGCTAGAAATGTTGGCACCCATTGAACCAGCAATCCGTAAACGGAAGCATCCACCACAGTATTCAGACCGAGCAGAATCTGTCAGTTCATTGACATCTCTAGAATCTGCAGCAGGCGATGTAGATAAGGTTTCTCTTACCTACTTTTAGTCAAATTTTCTTTCAGAAAATTAGAAAAGAACTATTTTCTTTGTTAGAATTGTTTTTCTTTGTTTTCCTTGTGTTTTCTTATAGGTTGTGCATGGCGTGGCTTCGATGTCACAAGCGACTGCAACAGCAGCTATTAGTCAGCTACAATTTTTATTCGGTGATCCGAGCAACTTTCGCTATGTTGCTGATCGAACTGATGCTATTGTGCAGGCTATTGTAACGCAGTCATCTATTATACGTAGTCGTCATCTTGATGATGTTAGCGCGTTGGATGAGCTAAACGAGCTTGTCCGTACAATATGCCATTTTTTAAGTTCGGTATGTTTTTTTCAGAAAGAACATAGCACCCATACTTGCTCCCCAGAAAATGGTGCACATGAATTTAATGGAAATCCTATAAATTAGAATTTCAAAAATGTGCGATTTTGGCAGCTTGTTAGGTTCTGTTTTTGGAATACAGACCGCACTAATTATTCAAGATAATCTGGTTTTCGAACGACATATTTTTAATTTACATTTGAAAAGACCTAAATATTTCAGCTTATCAAAGAAACAACGACATGCTCACGAATCTCTTCTGAAGCTTTGAAAATGCTTATACAAGAATTCCTCTATCTTTTAAAAGATGAACGCATGGAGCAGCTGAAGGATATTCAGTCTGTATGAATTTTTGATATCCAGCATTCTTTATTTCATTGTTGAATGTGTAAAATTTCGAGTCAGTTTACCTTGAATACCGGTTTGTTCTTTTTTAGATATTTCGTTCACTTAACTACTTATCGATTCGAATATGCGATAACGCCGATCCAACTGCTTGTTTCCTTGCTCTTTGTTCTATGTTAACATCTGCTTTGCACGATCCACGGAATAAGACTGTTGAACTCATAAATAAGGTATCAGTTACAATCCTCTTTAACTAGTATTAGACAGTTTTATTTCTTTCCTGTCAACAATTTATAAACGATATTTTGTAGTAGTTCTTAATATTTTATATAGTGTTGCCGAACTGAATAACTTAAATTTTAAGATCGTCTTGACTTAGCTGCATAACTTCTGCTTCAAATGTATCATTATAACGTTGCAGTGTATTTATAAACAATCCGAGCTATTTCTCCGTGATGTACCAATGAATTTGGATGAAATCGTGAAAGCAATTCATATTTTCATGCAAGAATTCCGTCCACGAGTGGACGAAAATAAAAGTATCAAAAATTCCATGCATTCAATGGAGTTATGCATACAGCGTTTGGTAGCAGGAACAAAATCATCGGTTTGTTTAGATTTTGAACTTTTTAGTAGAAGACGCAAAAAGAAAATGTTTTGGAATCTCGAATGTTTAGATTTATTTTTATTTTAGGTGATACAGCATATTGGGGAAATATCGAATCCTGATTCGAGCGAAGCTGTAATTTACATGAAAAAATGTGTTCGCGGGTTGCAAAATAAAAGTAATCAAAATAGCTTAGCATCATCAGCGTATGGAGAACTGCCGGGACAGGTGAATTTACTAATTTATATATCAGCTATAATAATAATAATTTTTAATAATAATTTTTATTATTATAATAAATATTGTAATAAATAATAATTTTATTATTATAATAAATAATAATTTTTTGTTTTTTGTAATTCCTAAATTGTTAAGATTTAGTGTGTTGGATTTGTGATAAGATAGGGGTTCCTGAAGATTTTTAGAATTCCAGGTGCTGTCATCTAATTATGAGGAGTCGGTACGAAATCTCATTTCGAAAATTGTTGAAAATCCATTTGGAAAGGTCAGTGAAATCCATTATGTCTTCTCCTTTTCTATTTCTATCCTCCCTCATTTCTTTCCTCTCTATTAAGTTGAATGGGTCTATGAAATTATGAGACTATGTTGGATTAATTTGGAGAATTGTCGGAAGATTTTATTTCGTCTAAAAATTACCATGAAAATTTCTCCAGGGCTTGCGACTTTTGCATACATTCCTGAAGATGAATCCGGATGCCCAGAAAATCCTAGAAGAGGAACTGAAAAGATATTGTCGAATGCGGGTCAGTTCGTTGTAGAGGCTTTATCAATGCTTTTTATGTTGTAGCTCTGTTGAAATTAATTTAATGTAACTAAGTTTATTTGAGTGTTTTGTTACTTAAGTATTCTAGAGCTAGAAGTTGCAAAGGTAGGTCTTGTGTCGTTCAGAATATTCAAATATATTTCCGTAATTTTCAGCCAAAGATAACTTCACCGATCACTTAACTTAGAGTGAGAGTAAGCTTTTTCTAAAAAATTATAAACCACTTGTGATTTACTTTCGCATCGTCATCAAGGATTCTTAATAGAGTTGCTCATCCTTACTGTTAAAACTATTTCGAAGAAACTTAGTTAAAAT